TGTGTGTTTCTTTATTATGTAAATTTGTTGGGAATTTTGTACATGTGACACGTCATTGGGCCAGTTATAGGGCAAGTTCTATTGGAAAAGAGTTTTGTATGCCCTGAAATGCGAACGAAATCTTTCTTTGTTTGCATCCACATAATTTGAAGCCAAAAAATCTTAAAAAATAATGCAAAATGAAGCGTATAAGGATATCTTTTCAAAGAATATGACAATACTGATGTAAAATTAAAGGTGCACTGGGTAACTTTTTTGATGGGGTTCTACTTGTTGTCTCCATGGAGATGTTATTGCTAGAATGTGCCGCAGTATGGAATCCAACTTATCTTTCCATTGAGCCTTATCTTCCCTCATTTCTAAGGTTGCTTTATTTTATTTTTTTAATTAGGCCTTATGTTCCCACATCTCCTTTTATCATCAATTTGCATCAGATTTTAACCCATTTCTCTCAGTTTGGTTATCAGTTACACCGAACCTATTATCCAGTAGCATTTGACTAAAGATGTAATGTAGAGGTCATGGCACATATATATATATATATATATATATATATATACAATAATTATACAATAAAAATGGCTTGATTTAGAGTTTAATTTTGAGAAAAATCTTAGAAATAAGAAAAATCTTAGAAATGAGGGAACACAGAGCTGTGGGAACATAGGGCTGACCCCGTTGAGACAAACACCAGGTCAAATTATAGGTCAGATGTGGAGAGGCGAGCCCACTATTTGTACCAAAAAAAAGCAAACGCCTACAGTGAAATACCTGCAAGATTGATGCATTAAACGCCATACTGGATAACATTCCAGACAAAACGGTAACATCTCCATGGAGACATCTCACCACCAGGAAAAGTTACTCAGTGCACCTTTATCTTACCCTTTACTAGGTCTGCTCAAAAATATCGAACTATTGATATATCGTTTAATATATCACCAAGAGTATTTTTTGTTGTTTGTTTGTTTGGAGGAAGGAAACTCGTTTATGTGACACATTTTGCATTTTCACAGTTTTGATGATTAAAATGGGTGTTTTTTATATTAACCTTGCACAAGAAGTGGTTTAACAAAGACTTTTAGTGTCACAGACCTCATTTAGCTGTTATTTTTTATTGCACCACATCGAATCGATTAGAAATATTTCATATCGAACCAGAAGTGCACTGTATCAAGATATGTATCGTATCGTGGCCTATGTATCGAGGTCTGTATCGTATCGGCAACTTCTTAATGATACCCAGCCCTACCCTTTACCCTCCAAAGATTTGTATATTTGCAGTAGATTTGCCTTATGTAAACCCAGACATATCTTCCTACTCAGATTAACCCAAGGTCCTGTTTTCAGTTTTTCTACGCGCAATAAAACCGGACCTTGTAACGACTGAGGTCAGCCTGCTATCTCCAAAGACTAACTTGCTATTTTGAGCCACTGTTTTGGCCAGAGCATGTGAGCATATATATGTGTGTGTGTGTGCTAGCAGTGACACGGTAATCAAAGCTAGCTCTTAAGTCGTAGCCTGGTTTGTTTGTATATGTTTATGCGCACTAGCTAGTCCTGGGGGAACGTGTTTGGAAATCCCCTCCATATTCTCCCGTGCCCGCTCGTGTGCTGGGGCCTGACCACACAACTGCACCGCCGCTCTCATTATACGGCCTACGGGGCAATAAAGGCATTCCAGGATTACGCTATTACATGGAATTAGCAGAGTGGAGGCCGAGATTTTCCAAAACATAGACCAGCTAGCTTATTGCATGCTACTGTAATGTTAATCTTGCAGGTTTAGGCTTCTTAGGTGCACAATTGAAAACCGTGCGATGATGTGGGCGCCAGCAATAGAGGTATTACAGGATTTTCAGTTTTATTTGAGGAATTCTTTTCATTTAGACTACTGTAAAGTTTTCAGAAATGTGCTTGTGTCCCCATTAGGATTGGGCAATATTTGGGTGATTTTTCTTCTTATGGTGATTAATTACAATTTCAGATTTTTTATTTTTTTTCCAATCCTAACTTCCCATTATTATGAACAAGACATAACTTTAATCATTGCTGACACAAAAAAATGTCATTTTTTTCTGAACTCTGCTCCACATTCTTTTGCAAACAGGCCACTGACTGGCTGTTGACCTTCAATTCAAATAGTTTTAGTAGCAGTAGTAGTAGTAGTAGTAGTAGTAGTAGTAGTTGCAATCATAGTAGAAGTAGTACTAGTAGTAGTAGCAGTAATAGTTGCAGTAGTAATTATAGTTGTAATAGTAGCACTAGTAGTAGTGTTGTAGTTGCTGTAGTAGTTGTTGCAGTAGTGGTTGTAGTTGTAGTTGCAGTAGTAGTTGTAGCAGTGGTAGTTGCAGTAGTAGTTGTAGTTGCAGTAGTAGTAGTTGTATCAGTTGTAATTGCAGTAGTACTAGTTGTGGTTACAGTACTGGTTGTAGTTGCATTAGTAGCTGTAGTTGTAGTTGTAGTTGCAGTAGTAGTTGTAATTGCAGTAGTAGTAGTTGTAGTTGCAGTAGTAGCCGTAGTTGTAGTAGTAGCTGTAGTTGCTGTAGTAGTTGTAATTGCAGTAGTATTTGTAGTTGCAGCAGTTGTAGTTGCAGTAGTAGATGTAGTAGATGTAGTAGTAGTAGCTGCAGTTGCAGTAGTAGTTGTAGTTGTAGCAGTTATAGTTGCAGTAAAAAATGCAGTAGTCTTTATAGTTGCAGTAGTAGTTGTAGTAGTAGTTGCAGTAGCAGTTGTAGTTGCAGTAGTAGTAGTAGTAGTAGTAGTAGTAGTAGTAGTAGTAGTAGTAGTAGTAGTAGTTGTAGTAGTAGTTGCAGTAGCAGTTGTAGTTGCAGTAGTAGTAGTAGTAGTAGTAGTAGTAGTAGTTGTAGTAGTAGTAATGACTTAACCTTGATCTCAACTGAAATGTGATTAATTGTTCAGCCCAATCCTCCGCACCATCCACATAAAGCGGAACAGTTACAGAAACACAGACTGTCTCTAAAGGACAACAGTATTATACAGTGTTGTACAGGGGTGACAGCAACAGGAAAAACACAAACACAATACAGTGAGTCATGACGTTATGGAGCCATCAAGTTTCCACTGCTACAAAACAGGACCTTTTAAATAGAAGGTTTAAATAAAGTTGAATTTTATTGTTTTAACTCAGTAGACATGCCTAGAGTTATTAGGTGAAAAATTGTATTATATTTTGCAGAAATACTTTCAGATTAAAGATTTAATGTCACAAAATCTCCAAAAAAGATTGACCCAAGCCCCATTACATTTTGATTACTTTTATTCCTTTACCCCTGTCACACCTCTATGGTCGCAGTTGCCCTGGGGTAGAGGGAGGTTTGGCTACCGTTTTGCTCATTGGACCACCATAATCACTGAAATAAATTCAAAGTGTGTGAAGTGTCTTGCTCATGGGCACAATGGCAGTATATGTGCCATACTGTGGTTCAGACCAACCAAAAATATGAGAATTTACTGACTTCTGATAGCTGGAATTAGTGTCATTGTATTAGCTCTAATATCCATAAATGATTAAATTATCTTCTGAGATTTCTCAATAAATTATCAGTAAAATAAAAAAAAATTAAAAAGTACATTTATTGAAAAGAACAAAAATGATTTCATTGTTGATAAATTAACTTCTTGTGTAACACCTCCCATCTCAAACAACAGACTCTTCACAAGGACTGTTTGTACCTCATTATAGGACAAATATAGCTCATAATGATTTGTCAAGTTACAGAACAATGTTACTCAAACTAAAATAATAGACTCGCCACTTGAGTACACTACATTCCTCCATCCAGATTTGGGAATGCTCTTGGGAATACCGGCCAGGAATTCTCTCAATGAGCGCAGCATACTTGTCATCTGTGCCTTTCCCAGAACACTTCCGTTTTGCATTTCTAATAAATTCCTTGCATTTGCTATCACGTCCACACAGGAGGAAGGCGCTGTATCGACAGAAATAACTCGGACATGATTGTTTCACAGAGAAAGGCCATTGTGTGGGCCCGGGAAATCCCACAATGCCCTGCTCTGTCAGCTGATCCATCAACACAACTGAACTTTCAAAATACATATGTTGTCATTTGTTTAAGAGGAAGTTTTGGTTTCACATTTTGATTAGCTTCAGAATTTTAAGTTTAATTATTTTCAGTAGTAGTAGTAGTAGTAGCAGTAGTATTAGTATTAGTAGTTGTAGTAGTAGCAGTAGTAGTAGCAGTAGCATTAATAGTAGTAGTAGTAGTAGTAGTAGTAGCAGCAGCAGTAACAGTAGTAGTAGTAGAAGTAGTAGTAGTAGTAGCAGCAGCAGTAATAGTAGTAGTATTAGTAGTAGTAGTAGTAGTAGTAGTAGAAGTAGTAGCAGCAGTAGCAGCAGTATTAGCAGTAGTAAAAATGTGGTAGTGATGGTAGTAGTAGTAGTATTTGCAATGCTTATAGTAGTACTCCTTTAATAGCATCAACAGAAGTAGTATATTTCTGTTAGAAATACTCAAAATAGTAAGTAGTAATAAGCCTAACTGTAGTAGTTGTAGTCCTGGCAATAAGCATAGTAGTTGCAGTAGCAGTAGTAGTGATGATGGTAGTAGTTGCAATAGTTGTAGTACTGTAATATAATAGCATGAACAGTAGTAGTATATTTTTGTTTAAGTAATTTGTAGAAATAGAAGAAATAAAGTAGTAAGACACATAATTGTTGTAATAGTACTTGTAGTGCTGGATATTATAGTAGTAGCATCAGTATCAGTAGTATTGGTAGCCATAGTGCAGTTCTAGGAACAAACATTAAATCGGTAAGAGTTACTTTTGATCATAAAAATGGTAGACAATCTGCTAAGAACCATTTCCTTCAGTGCAGATTCCTCTCCCCTCTGCTATTTGAATAAAGCGTTGACAGCTCGATTGATTTATGTGTCTACAATTTTGCATATTTGGACAAGCCTCACTATTCAAAACTTGCATAAACACAAACATAACATATTTCTCTTGTTTTGCAGATCTTCTACAAAGTCACTCGCGAGATCTTCCCCGGTGAGGAGCTGTTACTTTTCATGAAGGCTGAGGAGTATTCATGTGACAGTATGGCCCCAGATATCCACGGTTGGTTTCCCTCATGGAGATGTTTCATTGTTATGCTAGCTGCTAATGTTGATGTTTACCTATTCTTCCTTCATCTGTGTGCAGAGGAGAGGCAGTATCGCTGTGAGGACTGCGACCAGCACTTTGAGTCTCGCTCCCAGCTCTTGGACCACCAGAAGCAGCCGTGTGGGATGCCCCCGGTCTCCTTCCTCAACCCAGGTATGGCTCAAAAATTGGCAGTAATAAAAAAATAAAAATAAAAATAAGGCTCAATTCGTGGCATGTGATACGGCAAAATGAAGATGATGATTTAGATTCTATTTACACTTTTTCGTTCATTCTTTTTTTCAAAATAAAATCAAAAATAAGAAAACAAACAAACAAAAAAAAATGTCTTCATTATTTGTCTCCAAAACCAAAATTTTAAAAAAAGGATCATTTTATTTTATTTTTTTTCCATTTAGTGTTTAAATGAATAATGGGAAAACAGATAATGGCCATTTCCCATTTTTGTGACTTAAACTGTGATGCGTCACATATGGACTGAAGTAGGACTAAAACAGGACCGAACGAGGACTAAAACAGGACTAAACCAGGACTACACCAGGTCAAATCAGAATTAAACCAGAATTAAATCAGGACTGAGTTTCGAAACAGTTCCGGAGCTGCACCCGTGTAGACCGTTCGGTGACCGCAGGCGACAGGACCAGTGCAGCCTACACCCGATTATGCTTTGCAGACACCCTGCTCGGTGGGTTCGGGGTTCTCCCTCTCTCTATCAAGTCCAAGATTAGTTCTGGTTCGGACCTGGTTCAGTCTGTACATGTTAAAATTGGATGAAACGCTTTTTCCATTATTTATTTAAACACAAAATCGAAAAACTGGGAAAAAAAAAAAGAAAAAAAAACGTTATCCATGTTTTCATTTTGGTTTTGGAGACAAATGATGAAGAAAATTGTTGTTTTTTAATGTTCTTTTTTTTTTTTTTTTTTTTTTTTTTGAAAAATTAATGAACAAATAATACACGGATTCATTTGCTTCCTCTGAAAGTCTGTGTTTGAGCAGACAGCTGCATTATGCAGAAAAGTTGAATCACATTATGATGGTTTCACCAAAAGAGCAGATAGTCACACGGATGAGATCACAATCAGATTTTTATCACCCAGGCTTAGGTTCAGCTAATAGTAAAGTCACATTTCATTAAATTGGTATTGAATTGAAATTGATTAACTATATTTTATGTATAGTATATAAATAAATAAATAAATAAATAAATAAATACATACACATGCACATACATATTAAAAACAATGAGCATCATCTTCTGCCCAATAACACGAGTGCACTATGCATTTTCAGCAGCAGAGATTTAACTGCAACTGCTTTTGTCCACTACTATAATTTAAATTTATATGATTAGAATCTCCGTTCAGGTTTTATATTTGTGTCTAACCCAACCCTCAGGAGGAGACAATGATCTGAAAGCCCAGGAGCCTGAAGACCTCCGACCACTGCACCTGTCCCAAGGGTTTCACGAGTGCAAGGAGTGCGACCAGGCCTTCCCTGATATCCAGAGGTATGGAATCTTTTTGCGACTTGTTTTAGCTTCAGTGACATCAGCTGAATGAATTACGAGATGTGACAATGGACAAATGGACTAAAATTGACAGCCTGTTTGTTTTGTGTCTAGTCTGGAAGCCCACATCCTGTCCCACTCTGAGGAGAGGGAGTACAAGTGTGACCAGTGCCCCAAGGCCTTCAACTGGAAGTCCAACCTGATTCGCCATCAGATGTCACATGACAGCGGCAAGCACTACGAATGTGAAAACTGCTCAAAGGTAAAGTCATGACACAATGTGATCCAAACATTTTCTGGAAGCATTTATCATCTGAGTAAATCACAAGGCTGCAGACAGTAGAAATGTACAAGGTAGATGGGGGATCCCTCTTATTTGTGGAACATGTGGACATTGCAGACCTCAAGATAAAACCCCCAAATATTAGTCTTTTTTTTTTTTTTTAACAACAATTTACCTCCAGCTGTTTGATTTGGTAATTCTAATGTAGTTTATTCTCATTGATTTGAAATTGTTTTTACAAGTATCATTACCTGATACTAAGTAATACTAAATCTAGTATCGCAACAACATACTCATCTGAACAAGAAATTACTAAAAAATAAACAAAACTGAACCTTTTGTGAACAGTTTTATCAGAGCTAGAGAAGATCACATGATAATATTAAAGAAACTATTTTTGTGTTGAAAATTAGTAAATGATTAGTACATGATTAATGAATGCTTACTTAAACATGTATAAATGCTGTGTAGATAAAGAAAAGAAAGCAATTTATTACTTATTATTATAAGTAATTATTATTATTTGCAAATCAAAATTGATGCCTAGTATTGAGCCTTTTTCTTAGTTTCATAATTGAACTTTTAGTACTTTGTGATAACCTCAATATCCTTAGCTGTTTAACCTCTTCCCAGCTTTTTTCTTTATTCATCCTGAAACACTAAACATCTGATTTACCATTTGTTGTTTTTAACTTTTTTAAATGTATCTTATTGCTTTGCTTCATTTGTGTGGGAGCAGTTGTAGTTTGGCTGCACAACAAAACAAAGCCAACCAAGCTTATTTGTCTATTTTGCATTTCATATAGCCACTCCCTTAAGTTGATGTTACCTGATCGTAACTTTGGTCCTGTGTGTGCGCTCCCTCCCCCAGCAGGTGTTCACAGACCCCAGTAACCTGCAGAGGCACATCCGCTCACAGCACGTGGGCGCCCGGGCACACGCCTGCTCCGAGTGCGGAAAGACCTTCGCCACTTCGTCAGGCCTCAAGCAGCACAAGCACATCCACAGCAGTGTCAAGCCCTTCATGTGTAAGTCACTAAGACCCTACCTATGTAAGTCTGACCTCAAATCATAACCATACTTTCACTATGTTGATGTAATCTATGGTAGAACCTATTAACCATTTCAGCTTGTACGTGGTAGACTTGATTGTGCATGTTGCTTTACAGGGGGTGGTAAAGTCAACAGGTTGATCCCTGAAGAAATACAGCTACATATATGATGTCATAAGTTTGTGTTATGTGAGCTCATTCTGACATACAGTATTTGCATTCAAAAGTAACTGTTTGTTTGTAGAGGCACAGTGGCTTAGTGGCCAGAGCTCACGCCTCACAGTAACTAGAAGGTGCCCAGTTTAATTTAAGGACCACATGAGGCCTTTTGGTTTGGAGGTTACGTGGACTCCTTGTGGCTGGGTGGGTTTCCCTCCATCAATCAAAGTAGCATGTACATGTAGCATGTAGCAGCACCGGTGGCAAAACTTTAGTTGTGTCCTAAGGCAAGACACTTAAGTCACATCAGGGCGACTGTGGCTGTAATGATATCTTACCACAACCGGACTAGAATGAATGAATAATGCACAAAACTGTAAAGCAACTTTGACATCTGGAAAAGCAATATATAAGAATCCAGAGCATGTACTCTATGACTCTATCCTGACAAGAGTAGCTCAAAATCTCGAGATGGATCCCTAGGCATTTGGTATAATTTTATTGTAAAAATTCAATTTAATTATCTCATGGTAAACTAATGTATTTGATGCTTAAACCCAGCCCTATACTATCGCCTTAATGTTTGTATAAAAACAAGCATTCTGACACAGGGCGCAGACTTATGACATCATAATAAGTTGATTGCTTCTTTGCGGGGATAGTTGTGAAACTCCTGCAAGGCAATGTAGGGACATACGGCTGGTCACTCTATAAGAATGACATTTGGGATTAGTATTATTGCAACGTGTCAACTGGAAGCTCGATTTCTTCAAAACAAAGGCCACATCTGAATCAGCATCACCACTGCTGAAACTGCATCTCTAGCCTTTAGGCTAGCACGTCAATCTCCCACTCCCACGTGAAATTTAAGCAAACCTTTCCATTTTATTGACCTTCCCTGACCTGCTTTTGCTAAACTTTGCACTACCATTAACAGTTTCAGATTTGTCTTCTTATGCTAACCGCCAACTTCAAGTCCTAAACACACTTCGACCCCTGACCCCTCCGCCACCTCGCAGCCTAAAGCATTATGACCTTCACTCCCGACCTTTCGCCCTTGTGTCTCCGCCTGACCTCTGCTAACTCAGAGCTGGGAGAAAGCTGGCAGCGTTCACACACATAGAAAATGAGTGCAGATACTAGCTTACACCGCACGATGCACCATTCCTCCCAAATGGCAACCACATGGCCTCTCCAGTGTGCACATTCAAAAAGAGTCCATTTGGTGTAATCAGCAGAAAATATGCAAGTTTTAAAACAGCTAATGGGGGTGTGAAAAAAACAGAGGGGAAGGCCTGAAACATGGTGCCTGGGAGAGATCGATGATTGACAATGTTTGGATTGCATTATTGTCGGAAATGAAAATTCAAAACACAATTTGTTCATTTGCAGATTTTGGACGAGCACACAAATGCACTCTACAATCCAAATCTCAAGTTGCAGTATTGTGGAAGAAATAAATTCAAAACAGTTTATTAATTATCAAATCTTCTCTTGGCTTACAGATGTGTGCTAGAATTTTGAATCTCAAAATGTTCACACCACATTAGAAAACGTATTTGTTTGTTTATTTATTTATTCATTCACAACTTGGCTCCACGATGAGTCACAATGATTTCAATTATAATGGACTTTATTTTGTATCCTTAGGCTGCAGAATTGTACACAGTAATGGAACCTGCTCACACACACTCACAGACATTGATCACTGTTTAATAATTTATCTTGAAATATTGTTGACATGTTTACAGCTAATTGGACGTCTCTAAATACTATGAAAATGTACTGTTGTAATGTACCTGTTTCATAAATCTACTACTACGTTTCATACCCCACAGTGTGCAATTGGAACAAAAAGAATGCATTATTTACTCCAAAATGCTTTGTCTTCATTCTCCCCTGATTACGTCAACCACACCAAAGCCACAAATTCAACTCGTATCAATTAACTTAAACATTACAGTATATGTTATAGAACATAACATCCAAAGTTGGCTGCAACATTTGGCGCTCTCTGCACTTTCCCCCTTAGCTCTTCCTCCCCATTCCCTCAAATCGCTTTTTGTGCACCTTGTGTCTGGAAGTCATCCAAAGTATGCAGAAGTGTAATCACACCGAGATCCTAACCACTTCCTTATCCTCATTTTGTAGATCTAATAACAATGTGAGTGAAATCAATCATGGTGCTCTGGTTCGAACCGCTTTCTACCATTAGGAGATGATCAAAGTACCATTGATGTGTCAGCTGTATTGTATCCGATCTGCGAAATGTCTCTTGGAGCTTATAGTGCAATAACAACAACAACCGAGACGTCTTCCAATGCATTCTTGACTTTTATTAGCATAGTCGATCAAGCTAGCATGAGAAAACAATATGTACTTGGCCTCTATACTGCTCTTTGTGATTCGGAAATGGTGGTACTAGATAATTTTGACAGACAAATAATGGCCATAGCTTTGTCTGGTGCCACGGTACAAGGGACAGGGTCAGGCAGGGTCACATAGAGACACGGTGGGCTGGGTGTGGGAAGGTGAACTAACGTTGGGAGACAGAGGGACAGCTATCTGAACAAGGTGAAGGGGGCTGAGGGGTGGACAGCCGAGGGGAGAGGACGTGAGACCTGTCCCTGGGAACCGGACTCCAGGATAGGATTCATTCAACTTGGCTTCCTTCGCAAACTTAAAATAGCGCCATTGTACTGAGCGCGGCTGAGAATGTGTGTGTGTGGAAGGTTATGTCTGCAGTGTTGTGTGTGTCTATCAGTTTCTCAGTGCGAATGTGCCGCCTTGTCCCCTGTGTCTGTGTGTGATTGTTTACGAAGTCCCTGGGAGCGTCCCTGGGAGGACAATGGGGCTGGACATGCATGGGAATTGGGTTTGATGTGCAGGTGATGAGTGGTAGTCACTGACTCACACTGTCAACCAAACAGTTCCTCTGACAATGCCAGGATCTGGACACACCTACTCCCATTTTGCTTGGAAACTTCTGATGGGAACACATGCATCATTCATATGCTGTATTTCCGGTGATTTGCCTTTCTAGCCTCAAGTGTTTTTATTGTGTCATAGGTCTGTTTTCCACCAAACCGTTAAAGATTTGGGTCACAAATCGGATCAACACAATCACTATTAGTTTGCGCTCCTTCTGCTGAGCACAACTGACACTGTTTAGACAAAAAATGGGAACCTTTAGTATCTCTGATTAGCTGATCTGTACTAATGGTGGAACATAAACCTATAATATAATGTGACATTCATTTGTGAATGCGCTGGACTAACACACTGCTCCTCTGTCTTCATGTTTGTGCAGGTGAGGTCTGTCACAAGTCCTACACACAGTTCTCTAACCTGTGTCGTCACAAGCGCATGCACGCAGACTGCCGCACGCAGATCAAGTGTAAAGACTGTGGGCAGATGTTCAGCACGACATCCTCTCTCAACAAGCACCGGCGCTTCTGTGAGGGGAAGAACCATTTCACTGCTGGGGGCTTGTTTGCCCAGGGCATGCCCCTGCCTGGTGCTCCTGGTTTGGACAAATCTGCCCTGGGCATGGGCCACAGCAGTGCTGGACTGGCTGACTACTTTGGTGCGAGCCGCCACCACGGTGGGCTCACCTTTCCTGCAGCTCCTGCGTTTCCCTTCAGTTTTCCTGGCCTGTTCCCCTCTGGACTGTACCACCGGCCCCCTCTCATCCCGGCCACCACCTCCCCGGTCCGACAGCCGCACCACACACCGGGGTCAGGGCCAGAGCTGCTCCCTTCTAGCCCTGGGGTCCAAGATTCTCAAGAGCTGCTCAAGGCTCTGCGTAAAGACGGAGGCTCTCCTCGTACCCAGATGACCGCTGCTGATTTTCACACCTCCTCAAAGCGAATCAAGCCAAGCGACCAATCAGAGAGCAGCGATCTGGATGATGTCAGCACTCCCAGTGGCAGTGACCTAGAGAGCACATCGGGCTCTGAGCTGGAGAGTGACATGGACAGTGAGAGGGAGCGAGGGGCTGCGCGAGAGAATGGTAAAGTGTCCAAACGTAAGGCCAGTGAGGGAAGCTCCCACAGCCCCAAACTGCTGGGCAACAGTGCTGCTAAAGACTTTCCGGGCCCCTCTTTGATGCCCTCCTCGCTGGACGAGCACACAGCCGTCACAGGGGCTGTCAATGACTCTATTAAGGCTATTGCCTCTATTGCAGAGAAGTACTTTGGTTCAACGGGACTAGCCGGCCTTCAAGACAAGAAAGTGGGCTCTCTGCCCTACCCCTCAATGTTCCCACTGCCTTTCTTCCCTGGATTTTCTCCTCCAGTTTACCCATTCCAAGATAAAGACCTCAAACCTCCAGGCCTGAAAGGTCAGCCCCAGTCTCCTGGGGAAGACTCCAAAAAGGTGAAAACAGAGTCACCTTTTGACCTCACAACCAAGCGTAAGGAGGAAAAGTGTGAGGTGCTAGTCCCCTCCAAACCAGAGTCCTCACAGAACAACCAGGACCAGCCTCTGGACCTGAGCCTGGGACCACGGGCACGAGGACGCAGTGGGAAAGAAGAAGAGTCCAAGAAGATTTATGATGAAGGCAAGTCCGTGCTGGAGGTCCCCAAAGCTGACACCTCTTTACAGCACGCCCGGCCCACTCCCTTCTTCATGGACCCAATCTACAGGTATGGCCTTAACTCAACAGTCACTCACCTGTTTGTGATTGTTCATAATTTCTCTCATGAAATCTATATGCAGTTCAGTGTGTGTTAAGAGCTGATAGAAATGTCCCATTAGCAGGGTTGAGAAGAGGAGAATGAGTGATCCATTTGAGACGCTGAAGGACAAGTACATGCGGCCAGCTCCAGGGTTCCTCTTCCATCCCCAGGTGAGCCTCTATCTTATGGGAGATTGCACAATTACTGAGTATGTTTGCACAGTTATGATTAATATGAATATAAAATGAGTATACTTTGTAATTTTATGGCTTGCTTGTCCACATTCGCCGGCCGTTCCATAGTTATAAGTTTTACGACAGCGTAACCAGTCTAGATATTACACATTTCTCTCTATAGGGAGCAGTAACTCAAAATGGCTTTTCGGGGTTGACCATACAGCATTAATGGGTATTACTATGTGGCTCCGGTCTTTGCCTGTTAAGACCATTGGCGCTATGTAAAACAGATGTGGCAGCAAGAAAGGGGCACAGTGTGGCATGTCTTCACGTTATGTGTGTATGATTGCAATATAAAAAATGATACGCTTTTAAACCCCTTGTATCTGCCCCCGGGTTGGCTGTCGTGTTTTGAGCTAAGTAGCGTGTGCTCAAGTGTCTGTGCTATGAAGTGTTGCATTGACGTTCATTTGTCCGCTCTTAGCCTGCGGGTGAGAACGGGTCGTCGGGAAAGTGAAAACACCACTTTCTCAAGCGTACCATTCTTTTTTTCGTTCTTTCGTTCTCTGGTCGTTTCAGGTCTGGTTTTTACAGGCTGTTTCATTTGTCTGATTTATGTCCCTTGTCCAGACTGCCGCATGGGTCCGGGCCGGCAGCAGCCACATGGCCATCCCACAGGCCTTAATGAGGTGTCCTATCAGTAGAAACACTAACAGAGTGCTTAGGCCATCTTTATGACTTTATGATGTCTGGACACACAAATCATTCCCAGAAACAGCCAGAGCAGACCAGACCGAACTGGGGCCCCTTCTCTTTGTATAGGGGTTCTCTTGACTCAGTTTTGGGGAATCGAGAAGTAGGCTACAAACTTTTTTTTTTTTTTTAACTAGTGATTCAGCTTTTTATTTCCTGGCAGGAGGTTTTTACTGCCAAGCTATACCGGCTAAGGTTACATAGAGGAATCACATTCATAGCCAGTTATAATGAGTTTATTAAAGACTAGGAAGTGTTGGGAACTATTAGAGGCAACCTGAACGCCATAATACTGCAGATAGCTAGCTCATTGCTCATTTAGAGTTAATAATGCGGACCACAAGCCTTTGCTCAAAAAATGCACATGTGTCCAATCAGAAGGTGTTGATTCATTGGCTACTTCCTGGTCTTGACTGCCTCCTCTGTCCCTCTGTCTCCTCCCCTCAGTTTCGTTTGCCAGATCAGAGGACTTGGGTAAGTTCCTCTTTGTGACACAAATTTGTACCTGTATCCCACATAATGCATGGGCAAGATATCAACTGGCACCACCCTTCCATCCGCATGGCTTGTATGGTGAACTAGAGAGCTATCATTTGGAGTCGATGAGAAATGTCCAGTTTATATGTGTTCAGAAGTGTATAAATATATTCATATACATTTAATTCTGCATGGCTTCAGCGATTCTGGTTGTATGCACCAGTTTTGAGCACTATGACTTCTGCTGTTTATTGACGTCATTGAGAAAAAGCAGCATGATGAGATTTTCATTAGCTTAGTGGAAGAAAGCTTTGAAAATGTTACGGTTAATTTCAATGTGCAGTAGTGCTGTGTGCACTCAAATATATAAACATTGCACAAATTTGAGAAAGGACAGTCTGTAAAAGTTCACAAGTGATTTTTGATTATTTTAAGATTAGTTTTAGTCTGATCATGCAAACATAATTTCTGGCAAAAGTCTTAAGTCACATTTAATAAGAAAATGGTATATAACTTACATAAACATGGAAAAAAGAACCACAAATGTACATCAATTTTTTATCTTGGATTTGATTTTGAAACAATTAGGGAAAAGTGAAATGTGATCTTAAGAATGCCATTCTTGTGTGAGTGTGAATGATGTCTAGATTGGCTCGATTTCAACCCGTTTTGGGACTAATTAGGCCACATCCTCTGCTCCCTTCTCATAAAAGCCTTTTGATGGGGATTTCCACTTCTCCTACTTCATCTTGTCTATCTCCACCGTTAAACATTGCTTATTTGTAGAACAACCATGCGCTCCTTCAAATGGGCATGGCGGAGCTGCCGAGTGGTGGGCTGCTTTCTATCAGCGCCGGGGTAACAGTCTCTCTGGGACACTGGCGAGGGGGTGTGGGGGGTTCTGGGCTGGGTTATGGGGGGCCCGGTTCCTCCCCTCCAAACATCTGGTTCCCGATAAAGATCAACAATTGAGAATGCATCCCGCTAATTAAGGCCCTCGCAGCATCACTGACATCTGAAGATAGCCAATCAACAGCCGGTCCCAGTGCGGCGCTACAGCAACAAGCAAGTCCACAGACACAGCGCCCGAGGGGGGGAGACTGAAGAGAGGGGAGGCGAGCGCGGGTGTGGGGGGTCCCTCTACAAAAGGCTATATAAAAGCTTTGAAAAATGACTTGAAATTGTTTAAGTGTAACATTGTGCAGGGCAAACAGTGGATAATGACCCTGATTCATCGTCCCATAAAAACACAGGGGTTTTTGAAGTGTGATCCGCAGCAGGCTGATAACCACATTCATATAAATAATGACCAGAGTTTATATAAAAATCATTTACCGCTCAACTACAAAAGCCATTGGAGGTTTTATGGGTGCTTAATTGTTTGACAGCACCTTGAGAGGCTTCCACTGGAAATACACAAGTTTTACTGCTAAGGTTATAATACTCAATACAGTTTATGGTCTAATTGTGTCTATACTAAATGCTTAAAAAAAAAAAAAACTATCGAGCACAGTAAGTAACTAAAACTCATTGAAAAAAACAAAAATGTCACCAAATCCAAATGATTTATCATATTTTAGAAACAAGCAATTTGAAGTTTTTATTTTAATTTTTTTAAGATGTGAATTTACTTATATATAATATTTATTTTCGTGCTTACATTTTGCTATTGAGAAGACTGCTCTGTTAAGAATACATTGGATAACACTTTTATGTTTTTAAGTAAAATTATATTTAGGAAAAATATATATATATATATTGAGAACATCTTTTTTGTCAGCAGCCTGTTGTGAAAAACAAAAAAATCTGGAGTAAGATATAAGGAAACATAGGGCTCCTCAATTATGGAAAAAAAATCATTATCATGATTATTTTGGTCAATATTGAAATCACGATTATTCAAAGATTATTTTTTAGTCGCACGATGCATTTATTCAGCATGTGTCTCTCTCTCTCTCAAAAAAAAACCCCAAAAAAAACATTTTGTTATTGATAATTTAAGCAAAAGTTTCAAACTGAAAATAAATATAGGCTACAAATATGAACCTTTAGAACAGTTTTGCGATGTATAAATCAAAAATGAATAAAATATACTTTGAATATGAAATAAAACATAGAAAAACATAAATGTATTCATGAACCCAATCCAGTCCAGCTCTTCTACAATCTCTATATTTAAAAGATAAAATAAATATACTTATATAAAAAATATCCCAGAATAAACTTTGATAAGCTTTAATCGTTTCATTTCGATTATATGAATTTGGAAATCGTTTGACACACAAATCGAAATCGTGATAAAAATTTGATTTGATTGCACAATCTTAAGGAAATATAAACAATATAACAACAATTAATGACTTTTTTTTATATCACACGTTATAATACAGTTGTTTTGCATACTTCTAACTTGTCTGTCTACCTCTAAAACATACTCATGGGGTACAGGTAAAATAACTACTAACCAACTCCATCCAAAATGTCACCACTTGTGTGCAGCCATTGTTCCACTGAGGCATCTTATCAGTCCCTCAATCCACCTGACAACTTTAGCACGCTAACTCTCCCCAGATTTATCCCCTCACTCAACGCTCGCCTCAACCAAACTCACAGTGCACACCGAAGAGAAATATGAAAGCCTTTCTCTCCCTCTTTCCCGTAACCACTTCTTCTTACATCCTCCCCCTCCCTCGCTTTCTCTCTCCCCCTCCTCTCTTTGGAGCTGCCTCGCGTTTGATTCATGGCGTGCAGCATTGCCATATTCATAATCAAACGGACCTGACACTCCACATCCTCCCTCTGCAAGAACTTTACACTCCGCACGTCAATCCTAATCACTAGCTCCTAACAGCCTAACCTGCCGCTATGCATTACACCACTCTTTATTCATCCCTCTCTCCTCTAGTCGCACCCTTCTCTCCTCCCGTGTCTTATGAGATGCTCCTTCTCTATTTCTCAAATGTTGGACAGACGGAGATGGAATGTCAGGGTGCTATAGTGGACGACTTGGATCACAATTGATTTGTTGTTGAAATTTGAATAAGAGATGGGTGTGGAAATTCAGTGTATGGACAAATAATGGAAAGTTTCATTGGTTAAAACTGGAGGGAGTCGTAAATTGTGTTGAAATAGGGGAGCTGAGCTGACAAAGTTGCTTTTTTTCTTTTGCTTTTTTGCTTTATAGCCTATCATGGTTTACTTTAATTTTGTTTATTATGTCGTAGAAGACAATTAAAACTTTCTGCTTCTTGAAAGAGTTTACTTTACTTCCGAAGCTGGCCAATAAGAGGAGAGGATGAGGTAAAGAAAACTGATTTTAATTTATGCATTTATTTATTTTTAGCAAAGACATTAACCAGAAAAGTTGACAGAGTGAGATACTTTGAATATACTTTGTATAAAGTAAGAAATCAGAAATGCAACAAATAAGAGAATATGATTCATTTAGGACTAGACATTGGTTTTATGGTCACGTGAAGGAGATTGAGAGGTTGGAGAGGAATATTTTCGGCTGCTGCGTTAAAATTAGGGTGTGGCTTGAAATGGGATTGTCTCAGAGGCAAAGGTGGCTGTGATTGACAGATTACAGGAGGTAGCAGTAACAGTTTCATGGATTATGCGTACAAAAATATACGAGTAATGCTGTAAGAATACTAAGGGTAAAGCTACATCATTTCAAAATCCAAAACCCATGCAAATCTTTTATAGAGGAACACAAAATGCAGAAGTCTACTGGGACACCCTCTCTCTTTCTCTGTTTCTCCACACCCCTCCACTCCCCTAACTGCACCCCCCCCTCCTCCCTCTCCCCTCCCCTGTCCCGTCCCGCCCCTCTCAGCGCAGCGATATCATTATTACCCGTGTCTGGCCCTTGATCAGTAATGTCAACATCTTTCATATTGACGAATGTGCTGTCTGGCTGCATTGTGCACGGAATGGTTTACAGCCCCGCCAGTGGACATGAATCACTCCTCTGCCACACACACACACACGCACGCATACACACACACACACGTAGCCTACACATATAGCTACACATGCACTGGTTAAGGGAAAAAAGACATGCTCGACGTTACATTACGAAAACATTCTTCACCCATATATTTTCGCCAAAGGGGATGAATCAAACTTGGCCACCACTGGGTCGATCTGGTATTGACATGTCTTAGGCCATGAGCAGTTTTGTGTATAGTGTATGCAAAAGTTCATTAGTAGATTGGATTGCAGATAGATAGATAAATAGATAGATCGATAGATAGATCATAATTTTACATGGTCTCTGGCAAATAAAGAAGTGTGATTATGTCTAGTATTGCATTGTATTGTATGTTTACTCTATGTTTGACACTTAAAAGTTAAAAGTTGAAAGTTAAATTAATCATCAAGGGAGAGAGAGGGTGTTCACAGGAATGGTTTGAGAAGTTATTGTTGAGAGACAAAGTTGGTAACTGACATATAATTAACATTAATTTTGGTCAATTAAATCTTCCCTTTTCAAACTTGGAAGTAAATTGTTTAACATAATGTAAGTTATGGCTGCTGCGATCCAACTTGTATTGAGGGCTTTAATGGAGAACAGAGTAATCGGAAAAGAGGGTGCAAAATTATCCAACAATTCATTAAATGTATCACATGTGTTATTCCTTAATTGGAATTCTAGCGTTCTCTATCTGTATCACTTATTTTTTTATTGACCTAAATGTCTTAAAGGGGGTAAACATATATAACCAGGCTGGTGCCACCTACTGCCTCCGCTCAGTTTCATTTCTCTCCAACGATTAGGTCAGGAATCAGAATACACTAGACGGTTTTTATGAACCCAAGTAATGTGAGTTCGGTGTGAGTCCAGGCACCAGCCAGTGAATTTGGTGAATTTTATCAAGGGGAAAGACATTATTGCCCTTCTTCCTACGGGATTTGGGAAAAGCTTAATATACCAGTTAGTCCTGTTAGCGACGCATTACATACGTCATGACCAAAAAGCAGAGATTGGTTAAAATTTTTTTAAAAGTACCTGCCTGCTGTCGAGCGAACAAATCCTAATGTTGTGAGGTCAGAAGGTTTCCATGAAGTGAAACCAGCTGATGAATCAGGCTGATGCACATATTTTCTGTCTATGTCAGCAGAAATAAATTGTAAAAGTGGTTCTTATAGAGTCAAAATGAGCTGATATAGTACCAAACCCCTCTCCTCACTCCAAGGTGGCCCCAAGCGAACCGTGCCAATGGAAGTTGTTGTTGTTAGCATTAGCGTGGCGACAAAACTCCGATCTAGACTCTATGAAAAGTTTCGAGGTGAATCATTTGGATGCTTAAATCAGTTAGAAAAGCGAGGAATCCATGTGGACCACTGCAATCCTTTTAAAATGAACTCGTTCTGTTTTTCAAGTTTTTAAGAGCCTCTAATCAAGCACAAAGCCTTTAATGGAACAGATGATAATAATTATGCTAATGATGCTAATTATGCTGGTTTTATTAGAAAATCCCACTTTATCTAAAAAAGAAAAGACCCTAAAAAAAGCAACAATCCAACAACAATACGCTGTTAAAGTCGTATGCATGTTGTATAAAGTTGTTTTGTTTGGCCTTGTTTTTTGGGTTTATTTCTTTTTATAATGGTATAACATATCTTTGCGTCTCTGTCTCCTCAGATGTCTGCGATTGAAAATATGGCGGAGAAGTTGGAGACGTTCGGTTCTTTAAAGCCGGACACTGGTGACCTGCTGCGTTCTGTCCCCTCCATGTTTGATTTCAGAGCTCCGCCCACTGCCCTCCCCGAGACACTGCTACGAAAGGGCAAGGAGCGCTACACCTGCAGGTACAGCCCCACCTACTCTCCTGCTCTGAAACTGCAGCAAACACAAGAAAGACACTATTTAGTGGGGGTTCAATTTGTTCAATTTGCAATATGGGGCCACATATATATATATATATATATATATATATGTAGCCCATGCATATGTAACTAAGATCTTGTTTTGCAGGATGTTTGATTACGTACATCTAGATTCAAATGATCAAGCATGATTTTGACTTGAAAAAAAGAAATTTCTTCATAACTTTTGCCTTGTCATCTCAAAAAAATACATTACAAAGAAGCGTAACAATATTATTTTGTGTTTTTATGCAGATATTGTGGCAAAATTTTCCCCCGCTCTGCCAACCTGACCCGCCACCTCCGGACACACACAGGAGAGCAACCCTATCGGTAACAGCCCCAATTCTTTATCACCATTTTCCCATCATTATATTGTATACCATAGTACATCCACCCAGCTCATCTGTTCACAGTACATGAAGCTTTTCCCAGGCAAATCCTGTCCACAGTTAGCGCATAGTTCGTGTATGTTTTCTCATGCTGTAAAAGGCTGGAATAATTAAGTCATTTGGTTGGTGAGGAATGGTGTCCGTCGCCGCGGTGACAGGAGAGGGGTGGGTGGGCGGAGGGGGACGGGAGGAAGCGGGGTGAGGGATGGGGCTGATGAGGGGAGCGGGCAGATGTCCAGTCCAACAGCTGTGGCCTTAGCTCTCCTATGGACCAAACCAGGACAGTTACGGAAAACACAAGACACCAACTGTATTTATATTTCCAAAATTGTCAGATTTTGTCCCTCTGGCGCTAAAACCTTTCTCAATTTCATGCACAATTTTCTCTATTTTCATTGTTCATCTTGACACGCGTGAATAAACAAATTAAGTTTCTGTTTTCTGTATTTAGCATGCCATACGAGTAATTTTAGGTCTATATTACAAACAATTTAATGTGATGGTATTGAAATTAGAGTGGGAGAACTGTATTAAGTGCTGCCCATGATCATTTAGGCCAATTCAGCAATAAGCCTGCGAGCCAACAAAAACTGGTTTGAAGGTTGCGTTAGGGCACCCCTGTAAGCTGTAAAATTATGCCCCACCAATTTGCAGTATGAATTCAGGTCCTATACTACATCATATTCACTCTTGAGCGAGTTTTGAGCCATGTTATAATGTCGTTACCATTTCAGAACATACCTGGAGTTGTGTTTTGTTTCATTCACCAATGTCTGAGTAATCCTTTATTATTAGTCTATTTACATCTCTTCAGTTTAACAGCTATCTTTTACCTTTTGTTCAGTAAAGATTGGTAATTCCAGGTCTGAAGTCATCCAGATGATTTTAGTGAAGGTATATGGAGTTTAAAAACACAGTGTAGCATGTCAAGTATTACCACATGACATCCCATGGTGAGTGTTTTCTGTTTAAGAGAAGAAATATGCAGGATTTGTCTGTTAGACATGTGTGAGTGAAACAAAACGCAACTCCGGGTATGTTTTTGATGAAGAAACAACATTATAACAATATTCCATGCAAGAATTATCACTGTCTTTGTATTAGAGGACTTGGCACCGGTCCCTCCTTGGGGTCTTCTTTGTACATCGCACTTGCACTTGCAGTCTATAGAGCGCATGTCCAACTCACACTTGTATTTGCTCGTATTTTGATTATGAACAAACCTTGGCTGGTCCCCTCACACTTCGCAGTCTCTAAGCCAATGGAATGTTGGCTGGACCATACAGGAGGTTTGAGGACCACAGGGGAGACCAACTGAAGACCCCAACCTCCACTGCCCCAGCTCTGGCCTGGCATACCATTAAAGACCTACCCTATTTATTGTAATTTTTTGTAGAGATAACCAAGGGGGTTCCTGAGGGAGGGCCAAACGTGCAAGCTAATTCCAGCAGAAGAAACGATGTAATCTTCTCGTATAATTTTGCATGGAGAAACTTGGCAGCGGGCTCTAATTTCGCGTGCTTGTTTAGTGAGAGAAGAATGCACTTTTATTGCTCTGGCTGCAGATAAGAGGCAGAGCTGGTCTACCTAAAACAGGCTACTCCATCACAAGGGCCCAGGCTGCGTGGGGACTGCTGGGACTGTCTGCGAGTGGATGTACAGTGCGTTATATGGACCATTATTTTTCCTATAGAACACACAGGCGCATTCATTACATTGTACGGCTGCCAGGGCACTTAGCTGTTGGTAAGGCTGCGTTGTGTAAGTGTCAGAAGGGAGGGACAGCACGTGGCAATGGCTGACTAACTTTCAAACAAACACTTTTGGAGTGAAGTTGGACAGTTTTATAGTGGTGTAGGGCTTGTATTCTGTATGGTCCATGTACCTTGTATTTACTGATAAAATGTTATGGAAATGTATTAAAGGTGCACTATGTAACTTTCTCTTGGAGGGTCCATCACCACTTGTTTCAATGGATGTGTCTGGCATGTTCGACAGTATGACATGAAACAGTTCTAGTGTACATTTATTCAATTATAGGTGGTTTTATAGCGCAAAAATACATAGAAAAAACAGGCATTCTGGCTGTGAGCAGGGTTTCTTTTCCACAGATTTGACCTGTAACTTGCTTTGATTTGGTCTCCATGAAGATTGAAAGGTTTAATGCCATATTGTGAAACAGAGGTGGGGACTCAAATCAGACTCAAGTCACTATTTTTAGGACTTGAGACTTGACTTGATAAAATGGACTCGACTTGGACTTGGAGGTCAGTGACTTGGGACTTGACTTGGACTTGAAGCCTGTGACTTGAGAAGACTTCTGAATTCTTTCTATTCTGACCATAATGATTCACACTAAGATTTTGTTAAGACATTTAAAAAGGAAAAATTAATTTCTACAACTCTTATATACTCTATAAACACTCACATATAAATATACTATGATTTTTTTTAAGTACAATTTATCTTAAAAGTCAAATAAATGGCGAAAAATCTAAGCTATATTTGGTATTTTGGTTTAAAAGACTTGAAGCTCAAAGCAGACGACTTGGACTTGACTTGGACTTATGGGCCAGTGACTCGAGACTTGACTTGGACTTGCCTGTATTTAACTTGGGACTTGACTCAGATTCGAGGTTAAAGACTTGAGACTTACTTGAGACTTGCAAAACAAAGACTTGGTCCCACCTCTGCTGTGAAACATTCCAGACAAAGCAATAATAATGTTTTTTTTTTTCTTTGGACAAAAGTGGACAGAAGTTTTTTAATCAAACACGTTTCACTGCTTCTTCAATTCTGGAACTTGTATGAGCTGTGAAACGATAAAAAAAAAAAAAAAAAACTTTTGTCCAGTTGACAGAGTTGAATTTCTCTTTCGCTATCAATATTGAAATATTACTTTTTCTTCCACAACCCCCAAAATTCCCCAACTGCACAACCCATTACCAAATAAAAATTTAAATTAAATCCTTCACTGTCTTGTGCTTGCAGGTGTAAGTACTGTGACCGCTCGTTTAGCATCTCGTCCAACCTCCAGAGACACATCCGTAACATCCACAACAAAGAGAAGCCCTTCAAATGTACCCTGTGTGACCGCTGCTTCGGCCAGCAGACCAACCTGGACCGCCACCTCAAGAAGCACGAGAACGGAAACCTCTCAGGTACCAGGAAATGCTCGATCTACAATTACTGTCTGTTACTATGGCTGTAATTACTATAGCGAATTCAAGGTGCACTATGTAAGAATAGGGGTCCGTCACGTTCTTGTTTCTATGGATATGTCACTGCTCTGCCTGGAATGTTCCACAGTATGACATTAAACAGCTCCACCTAGATTTATCTACATTTATCAAATTACAGGTAGTTTTATAGCTCAGAAACACAGGCATTCTGACTGTGAGTGGGGCTGCCTCTCCATAGATATGACCTGTAACTTTCTCTGCCTTATTGGTTGATATTTTGTGGCTCAATATTTATCATGTGTAAAATTTATTTTCAAAAACAGGGAGATTTGGGGGATTTTTGTTGTATTACATTAAGATTTGAGCTGTTGCAGGTTGAGTAAGTAACTTCAATCACTATTTATAGGTTCATTCTGTTATTTATTTGTAGCAGCTCATGGCTTTTTAAGATACTGTCTAATTTAAAATGGTACCTTGTGATTATCTTGCGTTATTGTTATTGAGTCATCGGCTTAAAGTAGTTTCAGTATTATCTTTTATCGCAATATCTCTCCGGAGAAATGTATCATGTTTCAAAATTTGTTATCGTGACAGGCCTAGATGGAGCAATCATTTTGGGCTTGGTACTTTTTCTTTGTACTAGTAGGGAAGTTTTTTGTTATTTTTCTGTACTGCGATAAGATTTGAGCCGTAGACGGTTGAACAAATATCTCCTATGACTAATTTTAGATTCAAACGAACTACTAAAGTGTTTCATTCAATGTATTTATTGCATTTAGATTGCAGTTTATTTTATTTTTTTTAGAAAAGGCTTTACATTATTGTGTCAGTGGCATAAAGTGGCCAGTATTACTGTCTATTGGAATATTTTCTGTAGAGGAATTGCACTTTATAACTGTGTGACATTCTGATCCTCACAATGTATTTATGGAATCCACTTAGCAATGCTTGATGTAATGCTGGATCAGAGAACCTAACTCCACCGATAATAAATCTCTGTAATAGCTAAAATAATTCTTGAAGTTTTGATGATTAGCATTCCCTGATGGATATGTTTGATATTTGACAAATGGACTCAAGCCAAATGCAACTCAGCTTTTTATCTTCTGACTAGCTCGAAAATTCAGAAATGAAAAACATGAATTTATGTTAGAAGTTTATTAAGCCAAGTGAGCATTTTGTGAGATTTTTCATTAAAGATAATTTTTACTTTTTTTTCAGATTGTCCACTGAATCCTCCCTACTTTTGACTACCATTTAGGGAAAGATTCTTCTCAATGTCATTTCAACTGGCCATACTGCCTTATCTCATCTGATCTCAGAAGCTGGTTGGGCTTGGTTAGAATTTGGATAGAGAGCACTGGGATTACCACACAGGCGCTACAGTGGGACTCTATAGCATACTGTTGATGTGTCTTTGGGAAAGACACTTCACCCACCTTTCCTATTATGAGTGTGTGAGCAAGTGATTGGTTGTTATTAGGGGTCTGATGACACAGATTGGCAGCCTTGCTTTTGTGAGTCTCCCCCAGGGCAGCTGTGACTACAATAGTATCTTATTACAATTACCGTATTTTTCTGACTATAAGGCGCACCAGATTATAAGGAGCATTATCAATAATGTTGAACTCTCTTGTCTTTTTTTGTACATAAGGTGCACCGAATAATATGGTGCATTAAGCAAAACAAACAGACGACACTTGAGACTGATCCCTTAGCCTAGGCGTCCACAATCCACTGGCAGATCGTGGCGTAACTTAAGTAATTTAAGTTTGTTTGTTTTTTTCCAACAAGGAGGGCTCAAATATACATTGAGTAATAATGTGTTTAATGCAGCTTTGTGCACATTTGTCTGTGTTTTACAGGAATGAAATTTAAAACCATATGACTAATTTGCATAAACTATAAGCACTGAAAAAAACAGCTTGCTCGCTCTTACTCCGTGAGGCTCCTGACTACAGTAGCCGAAATGCTCTGACAATCCATCAAGCGGTGCGGCTTCGTAGCTTACCAAAGTCTAAAGTACTAAAACATTTTTTGAGTGCCATGTACTACGAGGTTCGAGGTCAGTAAGCACAACCAGAATTAATACATAAGGCGCACTGTTGATTTTTCAGAAAATTTAAGGATTTTAAGTGTGCCTTATAGTCCGAAAAATACAGTAAGTATGAAGTGAATCAATTAAACAATGTAAAGTGCTTTTGGGAGTCGTGAAAGAATATATAAATCCAATGTTAATCCAACCCTTTAACTAACAATTGTATCCCTGTCCCCTCTCCCCCATAGGCACTGCCATGTCCTCCCCTCAGTCTGAACTGGACAGTGGAAGCGCCATATTGGACGACAAAGAGGACTCCTACTTCAACGAGATCCGAAACTTCATCAGCAACGCTGGGCACAACCAGACCTCTCCAGACCCATCCGAGGAAGGGTGAGCCTCCTGTTGTGTTGTTCTAATAGCCCCTAGTAATAAACATGTGCAGTCCAAAAACCTCTCATTACGGTAAATAGCAGGTAATAGCATTTGTATGGCTGGGAAGTGAACTCTTGCACCATGACGCAGGGCCTGGATGGTGAGATACTAAGTCAGTTTTTATGGCCCATTTAGATTTTACATAGCAAACCACCCAGCCGGGTTCATCAAGTACAACACAGATGCTGAAAAAGGTGGAAAATACTCACACTATTTGGTCAATTGCTTTTACTGCCAAAGTCACACCAGCTATTTGATGAATAAAATGATTTCAGATATTGCCAGTAATGAATTGCGAAGGTTGAACATAGTGTTGTACATAGTGTTGAGTGATTTGTGTTTCAAGTAACATTATGGCCATACGATATTGATCTGATACCCATACCATGAGTTTTGTATTAAAAAGCATTAAAACTCCTCTTCTATAAATCCTTTTAAATAGCGTATCAAGGATATCATTATGTTTGCCCCACACTTGTTTGAAGTGATCTAAAAATTAAATATATATAAAGATAAACTAAAATATAAAGACTTTTTTTTTTTTTTTTTTTGGGGGGGGGGGGTCATTTAAAAGTAAATTCTTTGTTATGACATTTTAAGCACTCATATTTTTTGCACAAGAATCAATACTTTTTGATACCTCTGTCAGTATTGATATCCAAATCCAGTTTATTTATAAAGCTCTATTAAAAACAACAAACCGAAGTGCTGTACACAAAGATAAAAACATAAGTATAATACAATGAAAAAAATATATATAACAATTATTGAACAGTAAAAGACCTCAAAACTAGTTAAAAGCCAAAGAAAAATAGTATGTTTAAGAAGTGATTTAAGAGAAGAGAGTCAGCTCGTCTTAAGTGAATAGGCAACTCTCCATAATTTAGGCCCAACAACAGAAAATGCTCTGTCTCCTCTGAGCTTCCTCCTGGACTGAGGAACCACAAGCAGAGTCTGGTCAGCAGATCTGAGGGAGTGCATTGGAGAGTGTGGCACCAGCAGGTCAGTAAGGTATTGTGGGGCAAGGCCATTTAGGCATTTAAAAACAAATAAAAGTATTTTAAAATCCACTCTGAAACGAACATACAGATAGATATCGATCCATCCATCACTATTGCTACTAGTTACTATAGAGTTAATTACTTTTTTGTCTATATAGGACAAAGACATTTATGCTGACAACCAAAGTATTTAATGTGAGTGAAAAGGAAAAAAAGAAATAAAAATGTGAGATTGTTTTAGAGTAATCCAATCCTATGTAAATACTATACACACATTATTTAAATAATTTGTCCCAGTTTTGATACCACTCCGGAGATGCTTAGGTTTTGGATATGTTTTGAGTACCTCCCAGTGGTGTGATGGGGGGGCAATTTTCTGATAGAGATCTAGCACACTGCGAAGTATGATTGTTGATGATGAGGAGAGAAAGAGAGAGAAGAACTCGAGAAAGAGGGCGAGAAGAAGTAGCATAGTTAGCCTTTAGCACATCTGGTAACAACATGTGTGCCTTACAGGAAGAGGGTAGAGGAGGAGGGGTCAGGGGTCGTGCCGTGTTTCCTTTCAAAGTGCCTGGCTCCTGACGACTCCTGATAGATACTTTATCCCCAGCAAATTACCACGTTTGAAAGCGTAATTAGCGAATCTGTTTTCTTAATCACCCAAGCTCTCGCGCTCGGCCTCTGGAGCCTGTCTTCGGCCTAGGTTTAGCACAAACAGCACTCTGTCAACCCGCGCTCCCCATCCCCGCGAGAATACAACATTATCAGCGGCAGACAGAAGGGAAACAAATATGAAACATGAGAGCGCGCGGAACGAACTTGAGGTAATCTTCCGTTGTGTCCTTGGGCAAGACACTCTACCCACCATGGCTGTTTGGATTTGTTTGATTGATAGGGTTGCTGATTTGGGTTGTTGACACTTTTGAAGATGAGAGAGCTTGGAGTGTAGGGGTACCCCAAAGGCCGGCATCACAACACAAAGAAGTGGGTCCAGGGAGTAGTTTTTGAAAAAAATCACTGATTTTTTAACAGCTTTAATGAATTTCTTTGAAGATTTTGCAGTAGATTCTGTAATTAACATTGTTAATTTGGATTAGGCAGTCTGGTAAACAACACTAGGATCGTCCCTGACACATAAGTTTCATTATTTCTGGATTTTTGCAGTTGTTCATGATAATGCATTGGATTTATATAGTGACATTCAAGACTCCAAAAGTGTGAGTGCAAGTGGTGTCTTGCCTAAGGATACAATAACAAAATGCACTTCCAATGTCTCCGATAATATTTAGCGGTGGACAGTGGGACGAAGTATAATCCTTTGTTGCCTGTTCCAAATGAGCCATTAGCTGGTGCCACCTAGTGCCTCCGCTCAATTTAATTTTTCATTGGTGAATTTTATCAAGGGGAAAGACGTTATTGCTCTCCTTTCTATGGGATTTGGGAAAATCTTAATATACCAGTTAACCCCATTAATGGCGCATTACGTACATCATGACCAAATAGCAGCGATTGATTAAATGAAAAAAAGTACCCGCCTATCGTTGAGTGAACGAATTCTAACGCTGCGAGGTCAGACAGTTTCTACGAAGTAAAACCAGCTGATGAATCAGACCAGATCCAAATAGAGAAAGGAGACGAATCAGGGAGAGCATCCAGTTTAAAATGTAATATTTGAATCAGGGAGGGCATTAGGTTTAACATGTAATATTTGAAGCACTAATACAACTTATTTCCATGTTTCATTATGTGGTGCAGTCCTGTGACCACTTTGTCCCTTACATCTCACTATTTCTGTATGCTATCTTTGAGGCCTTTGTGCAAGAAGTGACATTTTTCTTAGCTGACGACAGATGACCCAAAGCATAATTAGAGAATCAGTCTTAATGTGGTTCCAGATGATTTACCAAAAGTGGGTTTCCTGTGGCGCGGAGAAGCCAGGGATAGATTAGGCCGTTTGGATAGCCTCACTGCTCTCACTGACAGGGGAGAGGAATGGGCCGGTTGGCAGAGCTCTCATAATTCTGCACCAAATGGGCCTGTCAGCTAAATATTTTGCCTATTAGATGAATCTGAGATAGAAGGAAAATAAACAAGGCGGGAGACAGAGCACTCCGGCTAAGTGCTCCAAGAATCAGAGCTGAGCCTTGGTGCCCAGACGGCCTCAAGAGCCATGATGACAAACGGGATTCCTGTTCTGCTCACTCCCAGCTGCAAACCTCATATCCACTTCCATATTCAACATACATGCATAGTATATATGCATTTGTTTCGGTTTTATTTCATGATTCTGTTAAAGGTACACTATGTAACTTTTTGGTTGGGGGTCCGTCACCTGCTTGTTTCTGTGGATATGTCATTGAAATGCCTGTAATGTTCTACAGTATGACACTGAACACCTCAACCTTACATTTATTTAATTATGGGTGGTTTTATACCTCAAAAATATCTAGAAAAACAGGCATTCTGACCGTGAGTAGTGCTGCCTCTCCACAGATCTGTCCTGTAACTTTGTCTGGTTTGGTCTCCATGAAGATAGAAAGGTTTAATGCCATATTGTGAAACATTCCAGACAAAGCAGTAACATGTCTATGGCTAAAAGTATTTGATGAACCTTCCATTAGAAAAGTTACACAATACATCTTTAAGTACACATTTTGAAAGTTTGCCTTTTAAGCTTGACTTGAGATAATGGAATGACAAGATATGCAGTTTTTTGTTTGCTTGTTTTTGTTTTTTTTTTTTGGAGAAATTAAATCACCTAATTGAGTAAATGCCAGATGTTTAATGTTTAATGCCATACTGTGGAACATTCAGTGCACCTTTAATAAATTTTACAATGGATTTTGATATTAAAATAGATACATAAATATTGCAATGCAGACAGAATTTTAATGAATATTGTAAAGCAATTTATGTTTTTATGACAAAAAAATATAATTGTGATAATGTATAATTTTTAATGCAATTTTTTTTAATATTATCTTGTACTGACCAACAATGTCCACTTTGTGCAGGATGAATGGCGGTCCATTCGAAGAAGAGAAGCCTCTGATGTCCAGCCGTGGGTCACATGACCTCGAGGATGAGGAAGCTGAAGATCTTGGTGCTGAGGAAGACGAGGGCGAGGAGCCTAAAGAGTCTCCTGGGAAACCTGACAGCCAATCACCTCGCGGGAATCTCAGTGATGACGGCACGCAGGAGGAAATGAACTTCAGTCAGAGTGATGACTTGAACCTCAACTGCAAAACCTCACCACGGAGGTAGAGAGTTTTTTTCATGTGACAAACTAATGTAAACCTTATATACTGATGAGATATTTTTGTTACTTATTTATGTTTTATTTAATTTTTATTTGTACATATACATTTATATTTCTTGATATTTTTGCTACTTATTTAGAATTTATTATTACCATTTATGTTTCTCTTAATTATTATATTATATTGTGATGTGTGAGCTTCTTTGTCCACATAATTTCCCTTGTAAATGAATAAAGTTTGTCTAAGTCTAAGTTATATAGGTAGATCAGTAGCTTATACCTGTGTTGTCCTGCAGGTATAAAGAGGAGCCAGAGGAGTGTGAGAGTGCGTTCTCTGCTCTGGAGCACATGCATCACTTCTCTGACCTGAGGAAGCTGGAGGAGAGCGAGCTGAGTGAGGGAGACGAGGACGAAGGCTCCTTCAGCTCTCCGACCCTCTCTGAGGCCGTCAAGCAGCCCCTGTTTAGGAAGTCCAAGTCTCAGGTACATACATACATACATACATTTACACACAGGAAGAGTAATGTACATAGTGAAAGTGACATTTTGGGGGATATGTAACAATCTCGATCAAATATGTATTATTGGCGGTTCAAGTTTAAACGACCCATATCACGTTATTTTCCGATCTATGTTATAATTGTGTTTCCTCATCACAAACATATCTGGAGTTGTGTTTTGTTCTATTCACATATGTTTAACACACAAATCCTGCATATTTACTCTGAGTTCTTCTCTCGGACAGGACACTTGTGGTGATAGAGAAAGTTCCCCACTGTGTTTTTAAATTTCATATACCTTCACTAGAATCATTTGGACCATTTCAGCTCTAAAATTGCATCTCTACTGAACAAAAATGGGAAAGGGTAGCTGTCAATTTGAAAACTATGGCTTGACACAGTGCATTTTCAGCTCTGGAGATGACTAAAAGACTAAAAATGTAGGGTCACTGAAACGTGTGAATGAAGCAAAAAAATTAAACAACTTCAGGTACCTTTTTGATGAGGTAACAACATTATAACAACATTATAACATGGTTTAAAGCTTACATGATTAAGGACAAATTTGTGTATTAATGGGGATTGTTTATTATCTATGTTAAAATTACCAGAATGTCACTTATGCCATTTTGTTTCTCTGCTTTATACTTTATTTATTACTTTCAATTTACTGTATTTTTTCTTACATATACTGTTTATATTCACCTGTTCTTATTCCCCCTCTCAGGCCTATGCCATGATGCTGTCTCTGGCTGACAAGGACTCCCTGCACCCATCCTCCCACAGCCCCGCCTCCATGTGGCACAGCCTGGCCCGTGCCGCTGCCGAGTCCAGCGCTATCCAGTCCCTCAGCCATGTATGATGACCCCCGCCCTGCCTACCCAACCCCACAACTCCCCCCTGTACCTTTAGACAGGAACTTTGGGGTCCCAGACTGGAGCAAGTGGGCCCCTGATTGTCTACTAAGTGACTGCTGAAGAACCACGGCCCATGTGACTGCGGACCACACAGGGTCTACAGCCCGGACACACCTATGAGTGAAATAAACACACCCAAATCGGACTCCTGGCGAAAGGGATTGTGATTCTGTGTCAAAAAATGAAGCTGAAATAATAATAGCTGTATTTATTCTGCTGAGTTTGTCTGTTTTGCACAGCACGGGCAGCTGGCGGGCATACAGATGGATGTGCTCCTGTTTTATTGTTAGTTTGTATGTGTCTTAAAGGCAAAAACGTTTGAGCCGCGGAGGTTTGTGCATTAAAAAATAACCTAATGATTCCCTTATATGTTACATGTCAGTGGATGCCATATCGGAACACAGTGACACACAATTTGATATAATCTATACATTAAACAGACAATTTTAAAATGGATTGGATGAAAGCTCTTTTTAAACGGAAAATAATGGGGTCTGTAAATCTGATGTGAAACCCAGGCTATTCTCACTAGTGACAAAGTTTACAACATGGCTCTGGATGTTCCTAGAATTTATTGGTTATTTGTTTTGTTGTGTGAATAAAGTAACATCCAAGCCTCCAAGCAACAGTTCTTCTATAAAAGTTCCAATGTGATTTCTACACAAACATGGAAACCCATAACTGAAAACTGTATGTTAATTGTAAATATGACATGTCCTTGTTTCTCCTGAATGTCTTTTCTATGTTTCTGGAATGTTGCATAGACTCATTTGATTTGATTGTGAACAGCAGAGGTCTGTGTGCTCAGACTTGGACATGTAAAGATTCCAGAGGAGCAGGGCAGAGCAGTTTGGTGGTGCCTTGCCATGCTGCGTGTGTGGGCACAATCATCACACTGCTGTCACTCCTCGTGCCCCCTGCGCTGTCACACTACGGAAGACTGCCTCTAGTGGAAAGAAGAAGGCTTTTGTTGATCCATTCTGTTTGTTTTGCTTTCCCCATGGGCAGTGATGGAGCAGGTTTTGTAACAGACAGATCTTTCTCAAAACCTTGAACTCATCGTCGTCGGCCAACAGTACCACTGAATAGCCTGAATGCTAGTCGTTAGCTTCTCCATGCTTGTGTGTCTTTCATTTTTAGACAATCATGATTTTGTTTCCATTTTTGTTGGTGTTGTTGTTAATATTTACTGTTGTATGTTGAGAATTGTATTTATTTCTTGGCAAACTGTAGTTTGTTTACTGAATAGCACTGCTCTTAGCCCAGGTGGAGGCCAATGTCCTCCCTGGGCCTTTCCCAGACCTACATGGGGATTGTAGATTATACATTTGAGTGCCAGATAGTATTAAACATACAATTCACTCTTATTCTTTCTAACTGGTTGACAAATAGATATGACTTAGGTTTTCCTATGAATCATTTGTAAAAATTACAAACATAAAGAATGAAGCAGCGGGTCTAATTTGCTCATAGACGCATGATTGGTCAGTCAGATCTTTTCTACGGTTGTCTGCTCGTGTGACGTTGGGTTCATGTTAATCCTTTGTGCCAAACAATGAGAAGTTCATTTATTCTCCCGTTTTGAGGGACCAGATTTTTTTTTTTTTTTTCATTTTGTTTATAATCAATTTTAAAACATAATCAGCAAGTTGAGGTACTTTGTTTTAATGCTTTCTACAATGTAACTGTATGCATTTCAATTCAGTACTGTGGGAGGAACAACTAAATAATAAAAGAATACAATGTGGACTTACATGTGCTTGGCTTCACGTTTATTTCTATATTCGATTTTTTTTTTTTTTTCTTGAGTCTCAAATTAAATAGCTATTGTCATATACATTTTATTTGTAGAATGAGCTGATAAAGTTTTATTCAGACACCGGAACACTTACTGGAATTGCATTTCCCAGGTTGGAACACATTTAGAGCATTTATAGGTTAGGCCTTTAGCTAAAAGCACACACTGCAGTACCTATGAGATCAATTTAGCTTCTACATTAAAATGTAAGGAGCATAAATTAAAAACTCAGTCGGAACTATAGTTGAACTTTGTGGGGCACCTTTGAAAACAATTTATGAATTAATAATAATAATAATAATAATTTTCCTAAAGCCTTTGATTTTTACCCATTTTTTTATGTAAATACTTGACCATGAACCATTATTGCCTTTGTCTCGTGTCTTCTCAATCCCGCTGCTCCGCTGCTGGCCACCAATCGTTTGGTGCCTGAACGCCTCACAAAGATCAGTTGTGTGGGACAGGAGTCAGAGAACCACCTGGCGTTAGGGGCCTGGCTCTCCCATGGCCCCCAGGAGCGGCGCTGGGCACTCTGTGAACCCCTTTGCGGCTCTTTTCTCTGGGGGCTTTTGGCTGGCTCTGGGCCTGGGGACATGCTTGGAGACAGGGCCTGAATGTGGTAGTGGGAGCGGAGGCAGGAATGTGTCCCCTGTATTTGTGTCCGTTTGTGGGGCATGATGGATGAGGTTTGGAGATGTGATGACCTGGCTCATCGCTCAAACGCTCAATAAGAGTTCTGCAGAGGCCCCCCCTTCCATCCGGACCCCCACTCCTCCACGCTCCTCAGCTCGTGTGACAGTGGGTCCATGGTAATCTTCAAACCAGCCATTCATTCGAGAATTGGTTTTAAATATCAAAAATGTAAAGATGTATGATGTAGTTTTAAACGTAAGTATTGCATTGTAGCTCATTGTGCATTTGTGAAGCTATAGGACGGTTATTCATGGCCAAACCATGTTTTGCCAGTTAATAAGCTACATCACTTGTTAATAGTTGTGGTGTATGGACTTTTTTATGGTTTTAGGAAGGGTTTTCTGCCATTTTAATTGTATAAGTTAGAGAAAGTCTTCTGCGATTTAGTCCATTAGGTTTATTGTAGTTCTTTTGAAAACACCTTAATTTTAAGTGTTCAAATTTAACAGTGGTTTGAGGACTTTAGTAATATTTTTGTCAGTTGTACTTGTATTGACTATATTTGTTTGGCAATACTGGTCTTTTTCAGATATAGTTGAAATCCTCCAGTATGTTATTGTTGTTATGAGAGGCCTGAATTAAAGGCCAATGGTACTTGAATGCTGGACCAGAAAAATGAATTCAGAAGGACATTCACATCTTTCATGTATTCCCATTTTGTGCGAAAATAACATAAAATAGACTGTTTATATGTATTTTATTACTCTGTAGCGTCAGTGAATCAGTGACTGCGCCTGTAAGTGGTCTGAAAGCGTTGTACAAACAGGCCAAATGACATTAGAGCTAAATCTAAATCAGAGCCAGTGTGTGGGTAGATGTGATGACCTGGCTCATCGCTCAAACCTTCAATAACAGTCCCATCATGCAGGAGGCCTCCTCACCAGACCCCCTCACCCCCTCGCCTCACCCCGCTGCCAGCCGACGTGGGCGGACATTGTGCATGTCCCATTGTCCAGCGGGCTGCTCTAAGGGGGCTGCTGGATTGGGCATGACAGTAAAGATGGCTGACACTCCGCGTTTACAGTGGTCTTGGCACCCTAATGGATGGGCTGTTTTCTTAGGGCCTGTTGTCAGCCCTGGGCGCTCGGCAGGGCGTCCTGCTTTGATGAGGTCATGGGGGGTCAGGCGGTGTTGATGAGGTCAGGAGGGTCGTCCAGCTTTGATGAGGTCAGCGGAGCCAGTGCTGCTGCAGCCTGGACGTATAATGCACATATAATGGAGTGGTCCTCGCGCTGTTCAGGAGTTTAGCCACCTGTTTTATTGCACACTCATTTAAGCCTACGCAGACGCATTTTGTTTGTCAGAGACAGAGTGGACATGGGCAAAAGCCATTTTTGACCATTCATAAATGTCGTTAATCACACATTCAGCCTCAGCAAAAGCTTAAGTCAGGAACATGTTAACCAAGAGAATAAAGCAACACAGGAAAACTCACAGCTCAACTCAGTCAAGTAAACCTTTAGTCTTTGTTCCCAACTGGTGTCACAAACTTTATTGTCAAAATAAATATCAAAATAATAAATAATAAATATGATATGATATTGATGATAATATTGCCACTTTATTTTTTGTTAATGACAAATAAAATTGCTTAATGAAATACTATTTCCCATTGAAAAAACCATAAGACACATCTTGGTATGAGGACCTCCCATCATACATTTTCCTTTGTACCTTGTATTTAAATATATGGTATACATAGTACTGCATAGGGAATATATCCTATCCCCAAGCGGCCATGTCTGTCCTGTTGCTTTGATCATTGCACTAATGGTGTGGCTGGCACCGCTTCAGGACAGGCCCCAATACAAGTGTTCTCGACCACCTCCTCTGCTCTGACCAGCCCAGCCCATTCCTTTGTGCCACCTTTGCACCCACCCATCCATCCATGCGCCCACCCATCCATCCAGAGTGTAATGCCTTGGTACAGTATAGAGCATACATCACGCCCCTCCCGTTCTGAGGGCAGAGGGTGGCATCGCAGCTGGCACCTCTCTCTTTGATTGCCTTGGCAGAGCTGCTGACTCGAGGTGTCCGGGGAGACATTTTGGGGCATAAGGAGGGGAGGGAGTGAGAGTGGGTACAGTTGGCACAAGAATGAATGTGTGTTAGGTAATGGCAGCTGCACCAATCATCATGTCAATATTATTCTGTATCAGCAATGTACTCGACTGGAAGGGCTTCAAACAAATATGTATCACTTACAGCAGATAAAGCTGTTGTAAAAAAAAAAAAAAGTGAGACATTTTGTGAATCAAAACATAATCCTAAAAAGAAATGATCAAAGCCCCAATAGGATTAGTCAAATCCAAATCCACTTCATGTCTACAGCACATTTTATAAACAGCACAGTTTCCAAAGTGCTACACGGAGATCATAAAATGAAGACAACAAAAAGGTAAATTGCTAAAATTTGGTCATACCTGTCCTAAAAAAATAAAACCAGTAAAATCAAAATAAATTCAAAATCCATACAAATCATAAAATAGCAGTATATAAGTAAAATAAATAAAAGACAGAGGACCCCACAACTCATACAGTGTTAAAAGCCAGAGAATAAAAGTGGACAATAATTAAATTATTTAAAAATAATACGCCAATAGCTAATAATTAAACATAATAAAATAAATCCTTAAAAGTCTTATATTATGCTAAATTGAAAGGTGTGAGCTTTTCATCAGTTTGGAATATGTTATAAAAAATTATACCTGGAGTCATGCTTTGTCTCATTCTCACCCTCTATTATTAGTCTGTCTACATCTCCAAAGCTCATATTGTGTTGTTTCACCGTCTGATGTCATGAAGTGGTATAGTATTCAGATAAGCAATTCCATGGATGAAATTATCCAAGAGATACAAGAGTGAAATCATGTGGAGTTTGAAAATATAATGCTGCACTTCCTGTATTAGCACATGACATCACAAAGTGTTTTCAGTTAGAGAGAAGAACTGTAACTGAAGCCTAAATATGTAGGGTTTGTGTGTTGAATATGTTTATGAAACAAAACTACTTCTGGTATGTTTCTGATGAGCAAACAAAATTGTAACAAACAGTACATCAGAAAATAGTGTAATGTGGGCTCTTTAAACCTATTATGCAAAACTGGCTGTTATTAGGTTTTAACCACAACAGCTCACGCATCATTAGTTTACACAAGTTGTATTTCCACTGACAAATCCATTGCATTGTCCTGAATTGCTCTGCGCATGAGGCTTGAGTGCCTCACCTACCCCCCAGCTCCACCCACTGCCTTGTATTTACTTGCAATTATTGAAAAAAATCTGATTCAGAGTCATGCATACGTAAAAAATGTCACATAGCCAGTAAAAATCTGCTGCCTGCTAGTCAAATGCTACTATGAATGATATGGATAGGATGTGTTTTAGTATGCAAAAATATCACTTACATAGCAATTACACTTCAAAACAAAATGGTCAAAACCATTCAAAACATCACTTAGTCAAGGGTTGCAGCTTCCTGTTGATATCATAAGAACTTTTATCCACACAAAAGAAATAATATTTAGTTTTGAATTGCTAATTGCTATGGCAACGGTGCAGGATTGTCATCACTCTGAAACCGATGGATAAACAGGAAGCTGAGACCCCAGCGTGGGCCTGGTAGTTTGTACTTGAGACTCACCAGAAGAGCATCAGTCTGCCTCTCTCCTCCCGTGTGTCTTTCTTAAGTCTGTGCTGTCGTGTGGTTTCAATAAACATAGTTAGTTTTTCATCAGGAGGATATGGGTCATTAGTGTTATGGATGGGCCCTCGGCATGTCTACAGAGAGCAGGAGACATAACACACACTCACACACATACACACACATAGTAGTATAATATGGCCACTGTAATCAAGCTGAACTTTGCTCTGATTGGTCTGCACACACTGTCACACTTAGGTCCCCCTTGTGGTTAAAAATGGAATAACATCTGTCTGTCATAATTGGTGCGTGGTACGGAAGCCCATTCAATGCCCAAAGACTATGAGAAGGCTACTGTTTAAGTCCTGAAATCCAATGTGCTAATAATTCCAATTTTAAAACAATGCAATACACAGTAGCTTTGGAGACTTCATGACCATTACAGTGAACCATAGATATCTGTGGGCCACCTTAATATTGCAAAATAAAACACAATTCTGTCAGGATGACACATGTTTTAGAGGGAAGATGTTTCACCACCTTTAAGTTACTTCTTTACTCTAAAACTGAGGGATTACACAGATGTCCTTCAAGCC